TGGATGGACCTAGAGATTATTACACTAAGTGAAGAAAGTGAGGCAGAGAAAGACAAATATACAGTATTACTTATATGTGGAATCTAAAAAATAGTACAAATGAATCTGTTATGTACAAAACAGAACACAGACATAGAAAACAAACTTATGTTTACCAAGGGGGAAGGAGGGAGGGATAAACTGAGAGTATGGGATTAAAAGATACATACCACTGTAAGAAAATGAACAAGGATTTACTATATAGCACAGGGGACTATATTCAATATCTTGTAGTAAACTATAATGGAAAAGAATAAGAAAAGAATATACATATATATTTGTATATATAACTGAATCACTTTGTTGTACACCTGAAACTAACACAGTATTGTAGATCAACTCTACTTTGATTTAAAAAAAAACCCAATGCTGTTTATTGTCATTACATGCATTGATCTTAGACAAGTTACTTAAGCTCCCTGAGTTTCAATAACTTTGTCTGGTAAATGGAGGCAAAAGCAGTGGACAGGCCAGTATAGGGCTTAGATAATTAAGATTCTAGCTCTGGACTTATGTTTTCTAAAAGCTGAAAAGCTGATGAATAGCTGCCCTCCTCTTTGAAATCACTAATAAAGTTGTTAAAGAAATTGTGCTTAATGCTGACCCCCGGGTGGAGAGTTTCACCCAGACTAGAACCAAAGATTTAACTATTAACTATTCTTAGAGTCCTTGTAGAACCTTAAAATTCACAGGAATTTCATTTATTCAAGTATTTTGATTTAAAAATATTGTATGATTACCATTTCTTAACTTTTTGGTGAAAGAAAATGTAGCTGTAAATGTAGTGTCATGAAAATAGCACTGGATAAAAATCAGATGATAGCTTCTACTGGCTGATTTTATGACCTTAGATAGCACTCTTATCTTGTCTGAGACTCAGTTTCTTCATTTTTAAAGTGAGGTGATGGAATAGCTGATCACCAAGGCGTCTTGCAGCTCTGCTTTCTCAAATTCTGTGCTCAGATTTGCATTGCAGTCAACAGACTAATGGCATTATCTTAGAAAACAAAAAAAGATATAATTTAGAGTAAAGTGATACAATCATATTAGGCCAGTAATTCTCCAAACAGCTGTTTAGCACTATTTCACTATGTAGACTCACACTTATAAACTAATGATTTGCAAGGTAATAAATACTGGAAATTTGAGCCAAGATCTTGGTCTCTAACATCAGTCTCCACCTACGGGAATTAACAGAGAGAAATGACTGATTTTGGGGTGAGGACAGAGAAGGTACAAGATGAGCCTGGGACATTTTGTCATAACAGAAAGCAATGAAGTGCTCAAAAAATAAAGGGAATGTGTCACAAGGACACAGAAGCTGACTCGGATGAGCTCCCACTGGCCAAATCTGGGACAATCTGAGCATGATGATAATTAAGTAATAATTACAAACCATTGTGGAAAAAGTAGGAAATGATGAGGTCCTATCAATAATAAATAACCAGGGAGAAGGGATAGTTGTTGCCAAGAGTCAAATACTAAACGCTATCTGGTAAATGTGGACAAGGTGCTGGAGTTAAAAGTTGGTATTTTGTCAGCATCATAATGAATATTGGATAAAATGAAAATCAATGGATGGTAAATCTAGGTGGAAATTTTGGTGAGGAGCAGGATATTTGCATGGAATTAGAATGTCTTTGTACCGACTGCTTACTAGTTGCAAGGGGGAAAGTAGTAATTATATAGTGAGGAAACTGGACAACTATTTGGTAAGGTGATGAACATTAACTTCACTATTGATGGACAGATGAACATTGTGTGCCTTCAGTGTGATGCCCTGAGAAGATTACAACACTGATGCAGTATTCAAGCCTAGAGTGCACAGCATGAATCTAATTATGACTCAGACAAAATCTCCCCCAGAAAGAAATACTGAAAATGTCAATGTCATATAAAATCAAGACAGCCTGTGGAATGTTCCAGATTAAAAGAGGCTAAAAATCATGACAACCATTTACAATACCTGATCCTAGACTAAATTCTGCCCTGGAGGAAGGGAAATACTATAAAGTGTGTTATGAAGTAAGCCAAAAATAGTGCAAAATAGATACATGGATGTTAGATTAGATAAAAGTAGCATATCAGTGGAGATTCATGAAGTTGGTGACTTCCCTACAGAGTCATACACTGAAGTATTTAGTGGTAAAGAGACATGATGTATGTAAGTTACTTTCAAGAGGTTTAGGAAGAGTGGATAGGAAGAGACAGACAGAGACAGAAATAGAGGGAGGAGAGAGGGAAGGAGCGGGAGAGAGAGAAGGAGGGACAAATGAGATAAAATGTCAAAAAGAGGTGAAGGTAGATAAAGGTTATACATGTATACTCTATGCTATCTGACTTTTGCAACATTTTTGTATGTTCGAACTTTTTTCTAAGTGAAGAGAGGAAAAAAAAACTTTAAGTAGTAAAACTTTTCTTAGATACAATCCCCAAAACACACCTATAAAAATATTGGTAAATTTAACTTCATCAAACATAAAAACTGCTTTTGAAAGACACTGTGAAGAGAGTGAAAAGACAAGCCATATATTAGGAGAAAAGAGTTGTAAAACATATGAGACTTGGATCCAAATAAAAGACTTGGATCCAAAACCCATAATAATTTGCAAGATGGTAAACACTGGAAATTTTTAAAAAGCTGAGCCTGGACCTTGGTCTCTAACACCATTCTCTACATAAAGGAACTAGGGCAATGCAGAGAATGGCAGAAAATACAGAATGCTAGAAGTACAGAAAAGAACTCTCAGCACCAAATAATAAAACAAAGCAAACAAAAAAAACTAATGAAAATGGTAAAACTATTTGAACAGACACATCATCAAAGAGGATATACCCACAACAAACAAGCACATGGAAAGGTGACAAATCTCATTGGTCAGTAGAGAAAGGTAAATTAAAACTACCATTTACTTCTTCACACTCACTAAAATTGCAATTTTATTTCACAATTTTAGTGGGAATTTAAAAAGCAGTGCAACCACTTTGGGAAATATTTTGAGATTTCTTTAAAAAAATCAAACTCAAACTTAACGATCTAGCCACTCCACTGCTTTAACCCAAGAGAAGTTAAAGCATATTTCCACACAAAGGCCTGTATAAAAGTGTTCATAGCAGCTTTATTTGTATAGCCAATACTTGGAAACTGTTCAAATACCCATCACTAGCTGAATGGGTAAACAAAATGTGATGGGAAACTACTTAGCACTAAAAAGGAATTAGCTATCGATACATACAACAAGTTAGATAATACCAAAATATTTATACTGAGTGAAAGAAACCAGACAAATGAAAGCACATACAGCATGATTCCATTTATAGAAAATTCTAGAAAACGGAAACTAATCAGTAGTGACACAGAGCAGAAGAATGATTGCCTGGAGCAGGAGAAGAAGAGGGGAGGGAGGAGGGGGACAGAGTCAAAGGTTCATGAAGAAACTTTGGGGAGTGAATGGTAATGAATATTATCTTGATTGTGGTGATGGTTTCATGAGTGTGTAAAGATGCCAAAATTTATCAAAATGGACACTTTAATTATGACCTGTTTATTCTGTGTCAATTATATCTCTATAAATTTTTTTAAAAGTGGCTAAGGACTTCCTTGGTGGTCCAGGGGTTTAGACTCTACACTTATAACACAGGGGGCAAGGGTTCGATCCCTAGTCAGGGAAATAAGATCCCACATGCTGTGTAGTGCAGCCAAAAAATAAAAATAAAAAGCTGCACAGTTATAAAATATTTTATTTATTTATTTATTTGGAGGCTAATTACTTTACAATATTGTATTGGTTTAAGCATACATTGACATGAATCTGCCACAGGTGTACATGTGTTCCCCATCCTGAACCCCCTCCCACCTCCCTCCCCATCCCATCCCTCTGGGTCATCCCAGTGCACCAGCCCTGAGAACCCTGTCTCATGCATCGAACCTGGACTGGTGATCTGTTTCACATATGATAATATACATGTTTCAATGCCATTCTCCCAAACCATCCCACCCTCGCCCTCTCCCACAGAGTCCAAAAGACCTGTTCTATACATCTGTGTCTTTTTTGGTGTCTCGCATACAGGGTTATCATTACCATCTTTCTAAATTCCATATATGTGTTAGTATACTGTATTGGTGTTTTTCTTTCTGGCTCACTTCACTCTGTACAATAGGCTCCAGTTTCATCCATCTCATTAGAACTGATTCAAATGAATTCTTTTTAATGGCTGAGTAATGTTCCATGGTGTATATGTACCACAGCTTCCTTATCCATTCATCTGCTGATGGGCATCTAGGTTGCTTCTACGTCCTGGCTATTATAAACAATGCTGTGATGAACATTGGGGTGCACGTGTCTCTTTCAGATCTGCTTTCCTCGGTGTGTATGCCCAGGAGTGGGATTGCTGGGTCATATGGCAGTTCTGTTTCCAGTTGTTTTTTTCTTTTCTCCACCATGTCAAGTTTATTATTCCAATGGCACTAATCCAGCTGGAGGTGCTCAGTGACACTGTGTGGGAGGGGTTTCCTGCCTTCTAGCTTCTGTCCAAAGAGAACATCTACCCGCTTGTTTCTTCCCCCTTTCTGGAGGAAAATCCACTATGGGCCATTTACCCAAATAAACCTCTTAATGCATTTATTTTTAACTTTTTTTTGACATTATGTTTCCCTCTCAACAAAAAAGTATTGGTTGTCCTATCCCCCTCCCCCACCCCCACCGGCCAGATAAGTCCCTGCTGCAAGGGCACTTCTGTTGCCCCTGAAATCTGGAAATAAATATCGAAAGAAACGGCATCAAGTGTTCATGTTGAGCGATGGCACGAAGTGGGCCCCAGAAACCTGTCAGGCAGAGCATTACTGGGTCTGGACAGCCTCGAGGTGTCGTGGAGAATGTGGGGGCTCGTTGCTGTGGTCACTGTCTCTGGGCGCGAGGGCCGCGCCGAGTCCCACCGATGGCGGGCTGCGCGGAGGCCGCCTACAGCTTGTCCAGGAGCTTGTCCAGGGCTGGGATGCCTTCTTTCAGGCCTTTGCGCTTGCGCGTCTCCGCCACCACTTGACTGGGGCGGCTGGTGTTGTCAAAAGGGTCACCGGGCAGGATCTGCCAGTGGTCGAAGACACACTGGGGGAAGGCCTGGCCGCCCATGTTGGACCTCAGGTCAGCAGTGAAGCCGAAGGACTCGTTGACAGGAAGGAAGGCCTTCACAACAAACATAGGGATGCCGGCCACCTGGGTCTCCTCAAAGACGTGACCCCGCTTCCTGTTCAAGACACCGTAGATGCCACCAACCACTTGTTCCGGACACTGGATCTCCACAAGATAGATGGGCTCCATGAGCCGGGGCTGGACAGTCAGCACACTGGCATACAGGCAGCGCCGAGCCATGGGGATGACCTGGCCACCCCCACGGTGGATAGCATCAGTGTGCAGTGTCACATCATGGACATCAAAGTGCACACCCGGCATGTTCTCCTCACACAGTGCCCCCTCCTTGGTGGCTCACTAGAAGCCAGCAACCGCACTGTCCGTGATCTCACTGAGGTACTGCACACTGATGTCTGTGCAGATGTTGGGGCCCGTGCCATCAGGGCCGAAGCACCAGATCTTACGGGCCTCGGCCACATCCCACTCATACTTCTCAGCCAGGTAGCAGGCCCGCTGCTTGAGCTCCTGGCGGGCGGACACCTCGCCCTTGTCGATGTCCTCAGCCAGGCCATCAGGGAAGGGCCACACCTTCATGTAAAGCCTATTGTGCTTGTTGGGGGACTTGGACAGGCAGAGTACGTTCGACTCCTCACTGACAGTCTCCCGGTATGAGACAACTGGGTCAGGTTTCTTGATGGGGATGCAGGCGTGATCCTCATGCAGGTCCTTGAGGCAGATTTCCAAGTGCAGCTCCCCAGCCCCTGCAATGATGTGCTCCCCAGACTCCTTGATGATGCACTGCACCATGGGGTCCGACTTGGCCAGCCGCTTCAGACCTTCCACCAGCTTGGGCAGGTCGGCTGGGTTCTTGGCCTCCACAGCGACCCTGACAACAGGGCTCACACTGAACTTCATCACTTGTATGTTGTGGGCATGCTCGAAGGTGGTGATGGTGCCAGTCTTCACCAGGAACTGGTCCATGCCCACAAGGCCCACAATGTTGCCACAAGGCATATCCTCGATGGGCTCCACATAACAGCCCATCATCAGGATTGTCCTCTGGATCGGCTTCAGGTACAGGTCCTCCTCCTTCCCAGGAGTATAGTTGGGTCCCATGATGCGGACCTTCAGTCCAGTGGACACCAGCCCTGAGAAGACCCAGCCGAAAGCATAGAACTGACCTTTGTCAGAAGTCGGCACCATTTTGGAAATGTACATCATGAGAGGGCCTTTGGGATCACAGCTTTTAATGCCCATGGCTGCCTCATCGTCTGGGGGCCCCTCATACAGGAACTCACAGCGGTACTGCTGGGCCGTCACAGGGGAAGGCAGGTGGATGGTGATCATCTGCAGCAGGGCGCCCCCAGCAGGCAGCCAGCAGCGCATCACAGCCTTCAGAAGTGGTTTGCCCTCCTTGTCCTTATCTTCACTGTCCAACTCGATGTCCGGTTTTTCAATTAGTTTTGCCATCTCCTCTTTCTTGAAGTTCATGATTGCATCAAACAACTTGAAGATTGGATCCAGAATGAGCTGGCAGAACGTCCATGGCAGCTTCTTGCCATCAGGGCTGTTGGCTGACTTGCTGAACTTGCCGGTGGATGGATCAAAGTATCGGTCTCCCCACAGCTTTTTCATCATGTCCTCCACCTTCTTGGCCCGCTCAGCAGGCCCTAGCTGCCCCTCGCCCTTGGAGGCAAACTTGCCACATACATCTCTGCAAACTGCTTCAGGGTAAAGACCCAACCATGGAGACCAGACCCGAAGCCAACAGTACCAAGGATGGGGTCGATCATGATGTTGCCCATCGGGCCACTCTCGCCCTCGCCATAGGTGGAGATAATGAAGTTGACGTTCTCCACGATGCGCTGGAAGGTTTGGTAGAGCTCCCCAGGCTCCAGCTGCAGCTCAAGCAGGGTCCTGTCCATCTTGTTCATCATCAGCATTGGCTTGATGTGCTCATCGATGGCCTGGCACAGCACCATCTCTGTCTGCACACACACACACCTGACACGCAGTCCACCACCACCAAGGCACCATCAGTGACACGGAGTGTGGCTGTCACCTCTGAGGAAAAGTCGACATGCCCAGGGGAGTTGACGAGGTTGATGAGGAAGCCAGAGCCATCCTTGCTCTGCTTGATGAAATTCAAGTCGTTCTCTGAAAGCTCATAGAAAAGGGAGATGGCCATTGACTTGATGGTGATGCAACGCTCCTGCTCGTCCTTCCGGGTGTCAGTGGAGCAGGTCTCCCCAGGCCGGGCAGAGGCGATGATACCTACCTTGCACACCAGGGAGTCCGTCAGAGTGGACTTGCCATGGTCCACGTGGGCAATGACAGACATGTTCCGGATATTGGCTTTCTTGTCCATGATGGCCTAGATCTGGTCTACTGTGAAGTTCACCATGGTGGCGGATGGCAGTTGATTCTCCCAGGCAGATCCAAGGAAGCTAGGTCGTGCCAAGGATGGCGGCGACGATGGCAGAAGAGCTATTTCCAGTTTTTTAAGGAATCTCCACACTGTTCTCCATAGTGGCTGTACTAGTTTGCATTCCCACCAACAGTGTAAGAGGGTTCCCTTTTCTCCACACCCTCTCCAGCATTTATTGCTTGCAGACTTGGATAGCAGCCATTCTGACTGGTGCAAAATGGTATCTCATTGTGATTTTGATTTACATTTCTCTAATAATGAGTGATGTTGAGCATCTTTTCATGTGTTTGTTAGTCATCTGTATATCTTCTTTGTAGAAATGTCTGTTTAGTTCTTTGGCCCATTTTTTGATTGGGTCATTTATTTTTCTGGAATTGAGCTGCAGGAGTTGCTTGTATATTTTTGAGATTAATTCTTTGTCAGTTGCTTCATTTGTTATTATTTTCTCCCATTCTGAAAGCTGTCTTTTCACCTTGCTTATAGTTTCCTTTGTTGTGCAAAAGCTTTTAAGTTTCATTAGGTCCCATTTGTTTATTTTTGCTTTTATTTCCAATATTCTGGGAGGTGGGTCATAGAGGATCCTGCTGTGATTTATGTCGGAGAGTGTTTTGCCTATGTTTTTCTCTAGGAGTTTGATAGTTTCTGGCCTTACGTTTAGATCTTTAATCCATTTTGAGTTTATTTTTGTGTATGGTGTTAGAAAGTGTTCTAGTTTCATTCTTTTACAAGTGGTTGACCAGTTTTCCCAGCACCACTTGTTAAAGAGGTTGTCTTTTCTCCATTGTATATCCTTGCCTCCTTTGTAGAAGATAAGGTGTCCATAGGTTTGTGGATTTATCTCTGGGCTTTCTATTCTGTTCCATTGATCTATATTTCTGTCTTTGTGCCAGTACCCTACTGTCTTGATGACTGTGGCTTTGTAGTAGAGCCTGAAGTCAGGCAGGTTGATTCCTCCAGTTCCATTCTTCTTTCTCAAGATTGCTTTGGCTATTCGAGGTTTTTTGTATTTCCATACAAATTGTGAAATTATTTGATCTAGTTCTGTGAAAAATACCATTGGTAGCTTGATAGGGATTGCGTTGAATCTATAGATTACTTTGGGTATTATACTGATTTTCACTTTATTGATTTTTCTGATCCATGAACACAGTATATTCCTCCATCTATCTGTGTCCTCTTTGATTTCTTTCACCAGTGTTTTATAGTTTTCTATGTATAGGTCTTTTGTTTCTTTAGGTAGATTTATTCCTAAGTATTTCATTCTTTTCATTGCAATGGTGAATGGAATTGTTTCCTTAATTTCTCTTTCTGTTTTCTCATTGTTAGTGTATAGGAAAGCAAGGGATTTCTGTGTGTTGATTTTATATCCTGCAACTTTACTATATTCATTGATTAGCTCTAGTAATTTTCTGGTGGAGTCTTTAGGGTTTTCTTTGTAGAGGATCATGTCATCTGCAAACAGTGAGTGTTTTACTTCTTTTCCAATCTGGATTCCTTTTATTTCTTCTTCTGCTCTGATTGCTGTGGCCAAAACTTCCAAAACTATGTTGAATAGTAGTGGTGAGAGTGGGCACCCTTGTCTTGTTCCTGACTTTAGGGGAAATGCTTTCAATTTTTCACCATTGAGGATAATTTTTGCTGTGGGTTTGTCGTATATAGCTTTTATTATGTTGAGGTATGTTCCTTCTATTCCTGCTTTCTGGAGGGTTTTTATCATAAATGAATGTTGAATTTTGTCAAAGGCTTTCTCTGCACCTATTGAGATAATCATATGGTTGTTATTTTTCAATTTGTTAATGTGGTGTACTACATTGATTGATTTGCAGACATTGAAGAATCCTTGCATCCCTGGGATAAAACCCACTTGGTCATGGTGTATGATTTTTTTTAATATGTTGTTGGATTCTGTTTGCTAGATATTGGCCTGTAGTTTTCTTTTTTTGTGGCATCTTTGTCAGGTTTTGGTATTAGGGTGATGGTAGCCTCATAGCATGAGTTTGGAAATTTACCTTCCTCTGCAATTTTCTGGAAGAGTTTGAGTAAGATAGGTGTTAGCTCTTCTCTAAATTTTTGGTAGAGTTTAGCTGTGAAGCTGTCTGGTCCTTCTGTTTGCTGGAAGATTTCTGATTACAGTTTCAATTTCCATGCCTGTGATGAGTCTGTTAAGATTTTTCATTTCTTCCTGGTTCAGTTTTGGAAAGTTTTACTTTTCTAAGAATTTGTCCATTTCTTCCAAGTTGTCCATTTTATTGGCATATAGTTGCTGATAGTAGTCTCTTATGATCCTTTGTATTTCAGTGTTGTCTGTTGTGATCTCTCCATTTTGGTTTCTAATTTTGTTAATTTGGTTCTTCTCCCTTTGTTTCTTAATGAGTCTTGCTAATGGTTTGTCAATTTTGTCTATTTTTTCAAAAAACCAGCTTTTGGCTTTGTTGATTTTTGCTATGGTCTCTTTTGTTACTTTTGCATTTGTTTCTGCCCTAATTTTAAAGATTTCTTTCCTTCTACTAACCCTGGGATTCTTCATTTCTTCCTTTTCTAGTTGCTTTAGGTGTAGAGTTAGGTTATTTATTTGACTTTTTTCTTGTTTCTTGAGGTAAGCTTGTATTCCTATGAACCTTTCCCTTAGCACTGCTTTTACAGTGTCCCATAGGTTTTGGGTTGTTGTGTTTTTATTTTCATTCACTTCTATGCATAGTTTGATTTCTTTTTTGATTTCTTCTGTGATTTGTTGGTTATTCAGCAGCGTGTTGTTCAGCCTCCATATGTTGGAATTTTTAGTAGTTTTTCTCTTGTAATTGACATCTAATCTTACTGCATTGTGGTCAGAAAAAATGCTTGGAATGATTTCAATTTTTTTGAATTTACCAAGGCTAGATTTATGGCCCAGGATGTGATCTGTCCTGGAGAAGGTTCCATGTGCACTTGAGAAAAAGGTGAAATTCATTGTTTTGGGGTGAAATGTCCTATAGATATCAATTAGGTCTAACTGGTCTATTGTATCATTTAAAGTTTGTGTTTCCTTGTTAATTTTCTGTTTAGTTGATCTATCCATAGGTGTGAATGGGGTATTAAAGTCTCCCGCTATTATTGTGTTATTAATAATTTCCCCTTTCATACTTGTTAGCATTTGTCTTACATATTGCACTGCTCCTATGTTGGGTGCATATATAACTGTTATATCTTCTGCTTGGATTGATCCTTTGATCATTATGTAGTGTCCTTCTTTGTCTCTTTTCACAGCCTTTGTTTTAAAGTCTATTTTATCTGATATGAGTATTGCTACTCTTGCTTTCTTTTGGTCTCTATTTGAGTGGAATATCTTTTCCAGCCCTTCACTTTCAGTCTGTATGTGTCCCTTGTTTCGAGGTGGGTCTCTTGTAGACAGCATATATAGGGGTCTTGTTTTCGTATCCATTCAGCCAGTCTTTGTCTTTTGGTTGGGGCGTTCAACCCATTTACTTTTAAGGTAATTATTGATAAGTATGATCCCGTTGCCATTTACTTTATTGTTTTGGGTTCGAGTTTATACACCCTTTCTGTGTTTCCTGTCTAGAGAAGATCCTTTAGCATTTGTTTGAGAGCTGGTTTGGTGGTGCTTAATTCTTTCAGCTTTTGCTTGTCTGTAAAGCTTTTGATTTCTCCTTCATATTTGAATGAGATCCTTGCTGGGTACAGTAATCTAGGCTGTAGGTTATTTTCTTTCACCACTTTAAGTATGTCTTGTCGTTCCCTTCTAGCCTGAAGAGTTTCTATTGATAGATCAGCTTTTATCCTTATGGGAATCCCCTTGTGTGTTATTTGTTTTTCCCTTGCTGCTTTTAATATTTGTTCTTTGTGTTTGATATTTGTTAATTTGATTAATATGTGTCTTGGGGTGTTTCACCTTGGGTTTATTCTGTTTGGGACTCTCTGGGTTTCTTGGACTTGGGTGACTATTTCCTTCCCCATTTTAGGGAAGTTTTCAACTATTATCTCCTCAAGTATTTTCTCATGGCCTTTCTTCTTGTCTTCTTCTTCTGAGACTCCTATGATTCGAATGTTGGGGCTTTTAACATTGTCCCAGAGGTCTCTGAGGTTCTCCTCATTTCTTTTCATTCTTTTTTCTTTTTTCCTCTCTGTTTCATTTATTTCTACCATTCTATCTTCTACCTCACTAATCCTATCTTCTGCCTCCATTATTCTACTGTTGGTTCCCTCCAGAGTGTTTCTGATCTCATTTATTGCATTATTCATTATATATTGACTCTTTTTTATTTCTTCTAGGTCCTTGTTAAACATTTCTTGCATCTTCTCAATCTTTGTCTCCAGGCTATTTATCTGTAACTCCATTTTGTTTTCAAGATTTTGGATCATTTTCACTATCATTATTCGGAATTCTTTATCAGGTAGATTCCCTTTCTCTTCCTCTTTTGTTTGGTTTGATGGGCATTTATCCTGTTCCTTTAGCTGCTGGGTATTTCTCTGCTTTTCATCTTGTTTATATTGCTGTGTTTGGGGTGGCCTTTCTGCATTCTGGCAGTTTGTGGTTCCTCGTTCCTCTTTATTGTGGAGGTTCCTCGCTGTGGGTGGGGTTGGATGTGTGGCTTGTTTAAGGTTTCTTGGTTAGGGAAGCTTGTGTCGGTGTTCTGGTGGGTGGAGCTGGATTTCTTCTCTCTGGAGTGCACTCCTTTCGAAGACAATGGGCTGCCTTTCTGGGTGCCTGATGTCCTCTGCCAGCATTCAGAAGTTGTTTTCTGGAATTTGTTCAGTGTTCAAATGTTCTTTCGATGAATTTGTGGGGGAGAAAGTGGTCTCTCCATCCTATTCCTCTGCCATCTTAGGACCGCCCCCTAAAATATTTTTTTGTAAAGTGGCTAGCAGAGTGACTGGTACATGACTGGCATTTACTACGTTTAAGTTCTCATCTGTTT